ATAATAAAACCACATACAATTTGCAAATTGATTTTTTTCTTTAATTAAAATTAATTTTTTGAAATGTTTTTTTTTTTTGAAAAAATTTATTTCTATATTATTGGATACTGATTCTGATAATGCAGTTAAACGGGAATCACAGGGTTTTTGTTACATGTTGTATACATATAATCGGAATCTCGGAAACGGCTTCAACGATTTTCATGAAATTTGATATGCAGGGGGTTTCGAGGGCAATAAATCGATTTAGCTAGGACTCATTTTTAGAAAATGTCGTTTTATCCATGTTTTTAGGCAATGAAAAACTGCTATAATGTTATTATTCATTAGAATACGAAAGTAAATTTTACCAATGCCTAAAAGGATATAACAGCTCAAATGGGATATTAAGCGGTCCTGAAATAATAGGACGCCGGTTCGAGTCCAGATTACTCCGGTCAGACTTTTTTCCTTTTTTTTTCAAGTTCCTTCTTTTGTGAGAAAATATATTATTTGAAGCCCTTTGTGTAATTTTGCTTTTTTTTATCAGCCTTTGTTTTTTTTAAACACGAAAAATAATGACCGAGAAGATCGAAAAATATTATTCATATTTCATCAAAATATAATTTTCAAAAAACACGATTTCCAACAAAATCATCGGTCATCCGGGTACTAGAAATAATACAATAATAATAAAATATTTAAGAAAAGTTAGAAAATTATATTCAAATTCAATATTTTATTTTCTAATACTAACCTAGCCTATTGCAAATATTAGATGTGGGGACTCCCCTTTAGGCAAAACATTGCCTGTGGATGGTGGGAAGAACCGCTCTTTTTACAAACAGTTACATAGAAAACTAAATTACAACTTATACACTAAAACAAGCAAGTTTACATGTAATTAATATTTTTTTATTTTTTTCATTGTTTCCTTCTGCTCGTGTGGGGTGTGGCGGCGCGTGCGGGTTTTTGTTGGTGGTGTGCGGGCTTTTTGTGGGTTGTTGTTGTGTGTGTTTGAGTTTGGTTGAGCGTAAGTGTTGTGTTATATAACTAATACTAGCAGACCCGGCCACGCGTTGCTGTGGCTAATGTTTTTGTTATATTACATTTTATTAAACTATTTAAGTGGAACGGTAGGAGAACATTAATCATTGGGACCACCATGCTTTTTTTACATAGATGCCATTTGTAAAAAACATGGCGACCTCCACGGCTGATTTCCTACTACCGTTACCCCTTAATACAATGAAATTATTATTTACGAACGAAGACTGAAACTTTAAAGCTGGTATAAAACTCCACTGGATTGGGATTTGAAGGGGAAGGATTTTGAACACGATTGATCAAAATTTTTGTACAATTGATATTAAGCAAAAATCATTACAATAGAATTAATTTTAAAATTTATAATTTTTTTATTCAAGTTTGTAACAAATGAGTATACTACAAACTTTTCGACGGCAGATAGTTTTAAATCTTTAATATATTTATTATTTTGAATTACAAATACTTTTAATTTCAATTTAATTTAGTACTAATCGGTGAACAATATTTTTGGTTAACCTGTTTTTAGCTAACACAAATAGATTCGACGGTTTCCCTACTCGTGAACATGTTACATATATAGTTGCCCATGAGAAAAACATGGATTTTCCAAATCTAAACCACAAATAGACATTGTTTGTCCTTGAGATTTATTTATAGATATGGCAAAAGCTAAACGAATTGGAAACTGTAGCCTTCTGAAGGTATCGTAGAATCTGACGGTATCATTGGAATACGTGGCAACAGAACCGATCTGTTTTCTTTAAAATTTCCAGTTAAAAATTGTTGTCTCAAGGATATTTCCGGTGATCCTTTTGATGACCAAACGCGTACCGTTGCATAATCGAGGTGGATTCAAATTACGCATGAGAATAATAGGTGAACCAATCTTTAATCGAAGATTATGTGGTGGCATTCCAGGTATATCTAGTGAATTTAAAAATTCGATTGGAAAATTTACACTTTAATTTTCATTAACAACAGTATCGATTGATTTAAAAGACATCATAACGCCAGGTAATGACTGTTGTATCTTAAAAATGTTTTGGGGTCCGTAATTGTTCGGAAAATATTTGTGCAGATGGATCATTTTGCAATCGTACGCGCATGTTTATGGTCAATCGAAGTGTTTCCACACTTCGCCATAAGAATGATTGTTTCAAACATGCATTTAATCTCATCCGCGAAAGTAGAGCGAGGTATAACCGGTAAGGTCTGTCGGAAATCACCAGACAAAAGTAAGATAGAACCACCGAAAAGTTTATCGTTGCCGTTTAAATACTGCATAGTTTTATGGGATAAAGAAAGTTGAAGATCTGTTCAGGCTAGCCCTGAACAAAGAAGAATATAGAAGGATGACTGCCGACCTTCAGTAATGGAGAGGCACTTAAAGAAGAAGAAGATAGTTCTATGCAATGCTTCGAGTGAATGTTTGTGAGCCATTGTGCACTCATCCCAAATTATAATTGAACTCTTCCACAACATTGCAGCTATTCCAGTTTTTTTTTTAATGTTACATATTGCGTTTGGTTTATTATGAATGTCCAATGGCAACTTCAATGTTGAATGTGCCGTTCGCCCACCATCTAGCAAAGTATCCGCAATGCTTGACGATGCAAATGCCAATGCGATTTTCTTTTGTGATCGTATTTTGGCAAGAATCAGCGATATTAAAAATGTTTTGCCGGTTCCACCTGGTGCATCCAAGAAAAAAAAAAGCCGCCTTGTTCAGCAGCAACGGTCAGTATAATCCGATCATAAATAATTTTTTGTTCTGCTGTCAGTAATGGCTCATTGTTCGCGATAATTGTTGCTAAATTACCGTGGTCATATTGTTTTTCTCGTTGTAAAAGTCGGTGGCCGGACGATCAGGTGATGGCATACCATAATGATTAAGTGGTAAATTTGAAATCAAAACACATAAATTCTCTACCAATACTGACGCTTCATTATATATCTCTGGCGTATAATCTATGTTTTGGCATTGATCTCTTTGTCTAATTCGGTGCAATATGTCTTCCGTCATATAATTTTTTATATTTTTCCCACAAATTTTGTGCTTGCGATGGATAACATGTTGTTAAAATAATTGCAAACAGCTGAAGAATGTTATTGGGCGTTGATGTCAACGCAGCATCAGCAAGCGTTAAGTCCCAATGGTTATCGTCTTCTAGCAATTGCAGTTCACGACATGCATCTTGGTATGTATTGAACACTCGACCGGTAAGACGTTGGTCCGCGAACATTCACCAATAACAAACGTAAATAGAAGCACTCACGTTGCTTTGGATGTACTGTGTAAAGTCGCAATGTCTTAGCTTTGAATATGCGTAATGGGGATGTGGTTTTCCTTGTTTTCGTGGCTCCCATTTTTTACCGGACTTGCTCCATGTGAAATAACGTGGAACATCAGTATATATCAATGTCTTTGCGAATTGGCCAAAATATCAGATTTTTGACACAATGTAAAAAATTCAGTTAGTGTCGTTTTTGGAGCCTCAAGCGCTCTTTGGATAACATTTTCTTCAGTGAAGTATACACGTTGACCGTTTTCAAGATGTATTGCTAGATGCTGTACAGGAAGGTCTCTTTCGTGTATGGGAAAGCTGAGAAATGCCCCATAGTTGTTGAAGACCCATTTGGTACCGTGTTATTTCGTCATTTTTATTTATATTTTGTACTTCAAATATGGCCAAATCACTGCCTTTATTTACATACTTACAAATGTACTTTATTGATTGAAAAGCTCGACAAAGCTCGACATTAATATGAGCCTTATAAGTTTTTGAAAGTAATATGTAAAGTAAAGTGAGTATGGTACCACCCACTGATTATCAAGTTCTACTTGATTTATAAAATTCGGTAGTCGCATTGTAAATCCATGGCCACCATTCTCAGTATTTCCGCAGCGATACAATGGATAACCGTCAATATCCGTGATAGTTTCATTCGTATGCGGCTTGGAAAATATTTCTTACATTTTCCATTTTCCATGCATGGTGACGTTATGTTGAAAGCACCGCACGGCCCGTGTATCATGTTTTTGGTAACAATATCAAATAATTCTTGATCAATTGATGGGTCTGGAATTTCGGCGGAAATTATTTGATCTATTTCTTTTGGACGGATTTTATCTTGAAGCCAAATTAAAATGTGGGCATGAGGCAAACCTCGCTTTTGCCACTCGATCGAATATAGCCAACAACGTGTGATACCAAAAACTGAATATTTAACTATTATTTAATTATTAAGGATTTTAATTTTTGTTTGAACACACGTGCAGTTATATCATGTCGATGAATTGCTTGTTGTGGTAATAGTAAAGTTTATATCTCTGTCCAATTCGGATTACATGTGAATGTAATAAATAAATCTGGTCGGCCGTAATGACGTACGTAAGTCATCGCATCTTGTATGTATTTCTGCATATTCCGTGGACTGCCGATGTAGCTTGAAGGTAAAATGAAAGCATTACCGATGTCATTGGGATTTAAATTTCCGTCGATGTTTCCAACAACAGCATCTCGTAAGTGAATGTATTCTTCTGATCGTAATTTAGCCTGTTTGTATCGAATGAATCACAAGCGTTCGCTTTCAACCTTAGCATACATATCAACAATGTATTGATGGAATATCTGACGATATCGAAGGATATAGTTGTCCTGATATAGTCTTATTATCAATCGGTGTGCGTATTAGTTCATAGAGCTGACGTTTTTATCTCTTTTAGCACCTAAAAAACAATAAAAAGAAATTAAAATAAGTACACACAGTAAGATATTAAATAGTTAATTGTCAAATTTACCAGTATTTGGATCACACTGTATGATGTTAAGGTGATATTCATCCTGTCCTTGCCAAAATATTAATGGATATTGTAGTGCGTCATATGAACGGTGTAGATCCGAAATTGTACTGACAGTGTTGTCTCGCCGTGTAATTTTTATAGCTCTTTTGTCAACTGGATCACGAACCATAATAATAGCGACCTCGTCAAGAGTTGGAGCGTTGAATCTGACAGCATGTTCACCTAATGGTACTTTGTCGGCTTTTATGACGACTTGATAGTTGTAATTTTGCAGTCGTGGCGAAACTCTTTTAATCAATCGAATTAGTTCATTATGATCTTCTAAAAACTTTTCCAGCATATTCACAATTGCTCTTTCTTCTGCTTGTTCAATGAAATTATATTGGCACCGAGTTGTCACGCGCTCTTCACAATTGCCCATAAAATAAATTTGAAGTAATTTCGGATCATTATCAGGCACTGGCATCAATGACCCGATTTGATGGTACACCTGGCCTTGTATTTTAAATTTCGTTTCAAAATTACGTCCATCGGATGCGAGATCGCAAATTTTTGTTGCCCCAAATGACGTCATTTGGAAGCAAGAATTAAATTTGCGTATCTTACGCAAAAATAATTTTGTATCATCTGAATCGCCAGCAAGAAGGGATAATAAAGGTTCCAGCGGAGTGGGTAGAGATAACAGCACAACTTTTCCTGATGCGGAGCACATGCCGGGTGGTTCGTTCTGAAATTTCAATGCCTGACAATATTGACATACTTTATCCATTGTGCCGATAGCAATTTTTGAATGCACAAAGTAGTTAATATATGGTGCATATTCGAAAGCAAGACGAACAAATGATGCTCGTGATAATGAGCGGCTGGCCCGCTGCCTCTGTCGTTCTTGTACTCGTGCTGTAGCTATGTTTTGCTCTCATGCTGCTCTTGTTCTCATAATAGTCTGTCGCAGACGTTCGTCACGCTGTTCTTGATGTTCTTGTGCACGACTCTCTGCCGTCCTGATTCTTTGATCTGCATTTCTTGTTTCGAATTGTTCTGCCGACTGATGAGCACTTTCAACACGTTTGCGTCGTGCCTCTCTGCTCCTCGCGTTATTGAGATTAGATTTTTTCGGTGGCATTTGACTGAAGATAATAATTTAAACTTTTAAATTAAAAAAAAATTGAAAAGCATGCTATTATAGCACATTGAAGTAAGGATTGCAAAATAATTTTTAATAAAGTTTGAATAAAAAAAAAATATTAATAAATCAGTAACATGAGTAGCAAGCGGACAATAAATACCAACCATTTATGTGACAAATAACCAGATTTATTTAGATCCTGGAGCCTTAGTACCTCATGACCATCAAAATACATTAATTCTATGCACTGCAAATACAATAATGTAACTATGTGATAATACTTACATGTATAATATATTTTAATTAAAGAGTTTTGAACAACGAAGCACTAATAATTAAAAAGCAGGAATAATTTCACTGTATTATCTTCACTGAGAGATATAATATGAATTTAATTTATACTTCAGTAATCAAAATATTATTCCTGTAATTTTTACAAAACATGTCATCGCTAACGTATTGCAAAAATGTAAATTGCTTTATTGAGACCACAGACTACTAAGAGGATACTACGCATATTGAGGACTTTTTTATTTTTTATAGGAACCGCTTCTAAGAGTGACTAAGCAAATTTATATGGCAGATGTGAATGGCCGAGTCGGGAAGGGACGCCCTAGGAAAAAGTTTATCGACCAAATTGGCGATATTTTGAAAATGGGCCACGTTAGAAGTACCCTTAACCGACGAGCATGTATGCGTAGATATATGGATGTAAAGGAGGCGAAAGAGGTATGTCAGGATCGTGCCAAATGGAAGTCCGTAGTCTCTGCCTACCCCTCTGGCTGACAGGCGTGAGTGTTTATGTATGTATGTATGTATAGGAACCGCTCCAAACGTAGCATTGACGCATGCGCAGTACGGGTACGTACTGCGCATAGCTTGCTACATATTTATTCATCTATGACTGCGCATGCGTCCATGCGGTTGAAAGCGTACGTATTGTGACTGTCAAATTATATACAAATATAATTTGGAATAAATTAATATTGGGAATATGGATTGAAATGTAAGCTAACCTATCTCTCAAGTTGGACCAAACTGCACACGTTGTGCAAATTTGATCAAAATCGGTTAAGTAGTTTAGGAGTCCATCGCGGACAAACAACGTGACACGTAATATATATAAAGAGTAATTTATATATATTAAGATTTGTTATTTAATATTTTCAAATACCTACTCACCTTAAGTGAAAAATAATGACCGAGAAGATCGAAAAATATTATTCATATTTCATCAGTATGTAAGTTGTATCTAAATATAATTTCAAAAAAACACGATTTCCAAAAAAAATCATCGGTCATCCGGGTACTAGAAATAATACAATAATAATAAAATATTTAAGAAAAGTTAGAAAATTATATCCATGTATAACTAGGTACAAAACGGGATGAGTCTTAGATAAAGTGGGTGGGCAACTTTTTTTTTTTTTTTTTTTTTTTTTATAGAAGAAGGGGCAAACGAGCATGTGGCTCTCATGATGTTAAGTGACTACCGCCGCCCATGATCAACTGCAACACCAGGGGAATTGCAGACGCGTTGCCGGCCCTTTAGAAAGGAGTAAGCTCTTTTCTTGAAGGTCCCCAGGTCGTATCGGTCCGGAAAAATCGCTGGTGGTAAATTATTCCACAGAGAGGTTGTACGCGGAAGAAAACTCCTTTTGAAACGTACAGTGGTGGACCGCCAAGCATCCAGATGGTGTGGATGGTATCGGGACGTTTGCCGCGTAGTGCGTTCACGAAATTTGGCGGCTGGGATTAATCCGAACAATTCCTCAGAGCACTCTCCATGGTATATGCGAAAGAAAATGCAAAGGGATGCAACATCTCTTCGCAGTGCCAGAGAATCGAGCCGATCGGAAAGCACTCGGTCGTCGACGATTCGAGCCGCTCTGCGCTGGATGTGGTCAAGTGGAAGGAGCTGGTACTGGGGAGCCCCAGCCCAGAGATGGGAACAGTATTCCATGTGCGGCCGAACCTGCGCCTTGTAAAGTTGCAGGCGGTGTGCCGGCATGAAATACTGTCCCGCTCTGCTGAGCACGCCAAGCTTTTTAGAGGCCAATTTGGCCTTCCCTTCCAAGTGACCACGAAACTGCACGTCACTCGATATGTCGACGCCGAGGATTCCGATACTGGCTGAGGCAACAAGGGGAGTGCCTTGAAACTGAGGGGATACGACAAAGGGGTTCTTTTTAGCGGTTAACGCGCAAACTTGTGTCTTCTGGGGGTTAAACTGGACTAGATTTAGTCGCCCCCAATCCGAGACTCTGTCCAGCAGAGACTCGACTTCAGACACAAGTTTGTCCCGGCACTCGGAGACGTTTTCCCGAGAAATATTGGCTCGGCCGGTGTAAAGAGCATCACCAGTGCTGTCATCCGCATAGCAATGAATGTTACGGGTCTGCAACATATCATTGATATGCAGAAGAAACAGCGTTGGCGATAGCACGCAGCCCTGTGGAACACCAGCATTAATAGGCTTGCAATCGGAGCTTGCACCGTCTACAACGACCTTGATGCTCCGATCTGCAAGAAAACTGGTGATCCAATCGCACAATTTCTCGGGAAGCCCATAGGAAGGGAGCTTCGAAAGAAGCGCTTTGTGCCAAACCCGATCGAAGGCCTTCGCAATGTCCAAACTAACGGCCAATGCCTCCCCCTTGGACTCTACTGCCTCCGCCCATCTGTGAGTTAGGTAGACCAGAAGATCACCAGCTGACCTACCACGGCGAAAACCGTATTGGCGGTCACTAATCAGCTGGTGATCCTCAAGGTACCTCATGAGCTGGCAGTTTACAATGGACTCCATTGTTTTGGAGAACAAGGAGGTGATGGCGATAGGCCGGTAGTTGGACGGGTCTGAGCGGTCGCCTTTTTTAGGGATCGGGTGGACGAAAGCCGTCTTCCATGATTTTGGGACTACGCCTAGGGAGTAGGAGTACCGGAAAAAACGCGTTAAAACCGGTGCCAACTCTGGAGCACACGTCCTCAGCACAATTGGGGGGGATTCCGTCAGGCCCACTCGACTTGTGGATGTCCAGGGAGAGGAGTGCTTTGCGAACCGAGCGCTGAGTGAACTGCACTTCCGGCATGGAGCACTCACACCGCGGGATGGTCGGCGGCGTACTCCCCCCGTCATCGAGAGTCGAGTTAGACGCAAAGAAAGAGCCTAGAAGATCGGCTTTTTCCTTTGCGGTGTGGGCCAGTGAGTCGTCCTCCCTGTGCAGAGATGGAAGAGATGGCTGACAGAAATTCCCCTGGACAGCCTTGGCGAGAGACCAGAATGTACGGGTTCCAGAAGGAAGACGAACTAGTTTCTCGCCAATTCTGCCTATGTGCTCTGACTTTGCCTTGGCAATGACTCTTTTGAAGGACCTAGAGGCGGAATTATACTTCTTTTTTTAGAGCGCTGGTGTTTACATCCCTGGACGCTGATGCGTCAGCCCAGGCCTGGTAGCACTCCTGCTTATAGCATGATGCTATTTTACAGGAGCGACCAAACCATGGCTGAGATTTGCCTCCAATGGGCACCACAGAGGAAGGAATAAAAAGTTCCATACCCTGAAGTACCACATCAGCGACAGAATCCGCAACAACGTTGGGATCGTCCGGCGAGAAGCAAACCCGCCCCCAAGGGTAGGATGCAAAGAAAGACCGCATCCCATCCCAATCGGCTGACCTATAGTGCCAAACACGGCGACAGTCTGCATAATGCAACCGCGATTTCAGCGTGAAACTGCCTTTAAACATTAAATATTTAATAAAATATAAAGGAAAGCTAACCCGGACCTAGAGGCCTATTAATCTAAACCTGTCATTATTGTTACAGCGTGTCAAAAGTCCACTGTTAAACGTAGGCCTCGCCTGTAGATTTCCTAATAAGGGAATATTTGTTATAAATACACTTGTTATTAGGAAGATACTGCTGCCTATCTCCCGATTTGTTTCCTTTGACGCCTTTTACGACACTCTCGGGTCTATGTTACAGGGTAGTGGATATCCTTACAACGCTACTACCATCTTACCTATCTAAATATTTTGTACCTGCGTGACTATAAGCTTTGGCTGGACCTCCTTCATCATTATTGCAGCCCTTTACAAATCTACAGTTGAAATAGGCCTCTACGAAGAAATACCACAAAACACGCTGCTAAGCCAAATGCATGTCTTACCAGGACGTCATTTCATCTAGATTTACCGACCGAGCTCCTTGCGTT